GGACATAATATTATAGTAGCATAGGGGTGTCAATATTTGACACAATTTGGAACTTGACCCAGAAAATTGCAGGTTCATGTCAACTAGTTTGGCATACGGGTCGTGTTCGGTAGATCGACCCATTTTAAAAATTGGGTCGGGTTTGGGTGGGTTGACCCCGGAAACTCGAAAGTGACATGGGTTGACCCGTTTAGAAAACCCTACCCTCCCATATCACGTTGTCACCCAAGCCTCGCCTCTCCCTTCAGCTGCAAGTCACACCGCTGTCTAATGGCCAAATCCCGATCCGCAAGATAGCCACCTATTCTGCCTCCTGTAGATCCAACCTTGTCCACCTCAAGATGCTAATCACACCGCCTTTGGTCACGCCCATTAGATCTACCGATAATTCTCCAGTTGCTGGTCCTTAGCTCCCTTCGCCACTGATTCTCTCTCACAGGATAGCAACCGACCGGCCCTCCTGAGAGCAGCCACCATCTCCAATCGGCCAGTCACCCCCAAAATTCGGGAAAAGCCTCAACTCTTTCGCCGTTCAAGATGAGATCCTCTTGGAGCCTAGTCACCCGTTTCGTGTACGCAGGTCGGGTTGGGACGACCTAGCAACCCGCGTGGGTTCAGACCGGGTTGGATTTCTCAAAAATAAGCCAGGTTAGGATCAACCCATTTCAACCTGGATCAATCCGAATTCGACCCAATCCCGACTTGTGGACCCATTTTGACACCTCTACAGTAGCATATGCATAGCTACTGTAATATTAATGAGCAAGATTACACAAACTTAACATTCATAAGTGAAAATTGTTAAAATGCTCATCATTTCTAGTTCTCCTCCCAGATATTATTACCGTTAGATTTTCTCAAATCACCCTCGCATACAAGCAGCAATTGATCTTCTTTTGTCAATGGTTGTCTATTAAGAAGATAACCTCTCATTGCGACTCCTTCTGCACAAGAGAGGGGCATTGAAATTTGATAGGGGAATGCCGTCTATCTATAATAGTGGAATGCCTCTAATAAAAGAATAAGATCAAAGGAGAACAAAAGAAATAAATCTAAAAATTTTAACTTTTACACACGGAGAGGGGCCCTAAATTTTAGTAGGAGATGACGCCTACAAAAAATAAGGGAATGCCTCAACTATAAGAAAGTTAGAATACATGAGGAGAAAGAAAAGAAACGAATCCCAAAATTTTAACTTCTATACATGGAGAGGAGCTCTGAATTTTAGTAGGGGATGCCGCTTACAATAAACAGGGGAATGCCTCAACTGTAAGAAAGTTAGAATAAGAGAGGAGAAAGAAAAAAATGGTTGCAAAAAGTCAAACTTCTATACAAGATGAGGGGCATCGATTCAAGTAAGAAAAGTCACCTATGAAAAGCAACATAATACCTCAATTGTAAGAAGATAGTCAGAGGAGAAGATAGTGAAAAGAGAAAAAATTTCCTTTTACACTGAAGAGGAGTACTGAATTAAGTAGGGAAAGTCACCTACGAAAAACAACAGCAAGCCTCTAAAGCATAAAAAAATATGGGAGAAAAAGAAGGAAAAATTTCAACTTCTGTACAAAAGAAGGGGCGCTGATTTAAGTAGGGAAAGTCACCTACTAAAAAATAGTGGAATGCTTTGACTGTAAGAAAGACAAAGGGAGAAAATAAGGTGCAAGTTTTCCCTTGGCCATAGGGGGTATTTAAAGCCTTTTTTTGTGGAAGAAAAGAACATTCCAGAATTCTATGGAATTTTTCCAATTTTTTTGAATTTCTTTGAAATTTTTTGAATTTTTTGGGATTTTTTCGATTTAAAAAAAAACACATGGGCCACTCCCAAAAAAATATATAAAAATTCAAAATCGAGTGGTTAACAGTGCAATAACTCCCGGAGCACGTCGTTTCGCGACGACGAAGGTGCGACGGGAGGCGGCCGGCTAGCCAGCCCGTCGGTTCGATTGACTAAGCTTGTTCGGATCCGATTTTTCGGTCTGGACGGTCCAAATCGGACGTTTTTTTAGTCCCTAGACACATTTTTTAACATTTCGGACTCAATTTTAACTTTTTCGAAGCCAACGGAACCTTTATGATCAAGTTTAAGCAAGATTTTAATTTTTGGAATGCAATTTTTTACGATTCGATCAATGTAAATGTTAACACATATATTTTTGGACTTTTGAAGCTTTGATATCTAAAAATAGGGGGGCAACTAATATTTTCAAAAAATTATCTTGATCGGGCACAAATCTCGAGGCAAAATCAAGCCGAAAACTTCAAAAATTTAATTTGGGATCATCTAAACTTTGATTTATGCAAACTTACAGTTGAACTGATTGTCTCATAAATACAAACCGAACAACACCAAATTCAACTCAATCCGAGCCTAAATGGGTCTGAATCAAAGACTCGAAGCATATTCAGAAGGTTCAATCCTTAATTTAGATTACCAAACACTTTCCAAATATGACATGCTTATAGTCAAATCGAGAGGCTTGACGAGACAAATCCAACGAGCCTATGATCACCGAATTTTGATATCATTAAGGCCTTAAAATGTCTGACGAATGGTCCACGATCAAGGGATACAATTTCAGTCATCTATTTGAACCACTCCTCAATTTCCCTTGATCGTCTTCTTATTTACGGGTCATGACATCCTAAAAAAACTATAAATAGCTTCACATTTCTCTTTAGAGGGGACTGAAGCAAGAGAAGAGAAGAGAAGAAGAGGAAGAGAAGAAAAGAAGGATATGAGGGAAGAAAATCCTCCTTGACCACCAACACAGGAATTCTACCCAAGTGACGCCAAAATTCTGTCATACTTCCACGAGACGTCGTAATTTTTCCCAAGTGATACCGGAATTCTACTCGACCTCCAAGTGACGCTAGAATTCCGCCCGACCTTCAAGTGACATTGGAATTCTGCCCGACCTCCAGGTGACGCCAAAATTCCGCCCGACTTCCAAGTGATGCTGAAGTTTCACCCGAACTCCAAGTGACGTCGGAGTTCTGCCTGAATACCATCTAACGCTGGAGTTCTCCTCGGCCTCCAACTGATGTTGGACTTCTACCCGATGCTGGACCTCTTCTCGTCGCCAAGTTTCTACCCAACACCGAACTTCTGCCTATTGTCAGACTTTCGATAGACATCTATCTGATGCTGGATTTATGTCCATTGTTGGATGTCTACCTAACACCATCCTTATGACCTTCGTCGTCAAACAAAACTCCTTCTGACCTCCGTCACTCACCGACTATGGTCCTTCTAACTTACTTCGCCCGTCGACTACAGTCTTTCCGACCTCTATCGCCCGCCGACTACAGTCCATCCGACCTCGGTCGCCCACCGACTGCAGTCCTTCTGACCTCGATCGCCCGCTGACTACGGTCCTTCTGACTTACGTCGTCCACTGACTGCAGTCCTTCCGTCCTCCGTCGCCCGCCGAATATGGTCCTTCTGACTTACGTTGCCCACCAACTACCATCCTTCAGACTAAACAAACACATAAGGAGTGATTCTTTGTATAAATGTACTCTATATGATGTATATCAAGCTAAGGCCTTCCCCTAAGGGCCTCATTTGTAATCAACTGCGAATACTAGTGGATTCATTCAAACTGGGCTAGACCCTATGATTTTCCCTCTTTTTTAGGGGTTATCCATGTAAAAATCTTGGTGTCTCTAGTGAATGATGCACCCGCTCTTTATCTGTGTGTGTTGGATCTTCGTACAACACTAAGACATTAAACTTTATATTTCTCTACCGCCGCGAATACTTCAGGATGCAACATATATATAATGTTTATATGATTTATATATTAGATAGCATAACATACTTTTTATCAAAGTTGTAAAAATAGGACCAAATATTGAACTGGAAGAATGAGTGGTTCAAGATTCAATGGCTTGATCGAGATTGAATAGAATGGTGTGATAAATATTATCTAAATGAAATAATAATGATATAATAATCATGCAATAATATAAATTTGTGACTAAAAAAAAATCATACATAAACAATAGTTTCTATAATTTTAAATTAAATACACTCAAATTTTAAATTTGATTCACATTTACTATAATATTATAAATTTAATATAAATTATTATTAGTTTATTTTATCTGATTAGATATAATTTACATCTATAGGTTATATATATAATT